GAAAACATAACAATAGATAAGATTGATAAGAAGTATTCATTCATTCATTCATTCATTCATTCCTTTCCAGCTTTATTTATTTAAAATAAATAAAAATTCCAAATTTAATCAATTTATAATAAATAACGTTTTTTATTTATTTTGCCCATTCAGCTTTAATCACTTTAGTTTGTTATTTGTAGTCTGAAAGCAGACAATAAAGTAAAACAAATTTAAAATAGATTTATTTATTTATTTTAGTTTGTTTATATATTATGTATTCAGTGTAGTTGTTTGTAGTGTGAAAAGCAAACAATAAAATAAAGTAACATAAAATAACAAAAATAAAAAAATTAAAGTAAAATAAAATAAAGTAAAATTGGGTAACACAGTTCTGTTTTTATTTAGGAATCAGGTTCAGTTGGTTTTGTGGATTTCTCCAGGTGGCTATATTTATTTATTTATTACTAAATTTATTTGCCATTCTGACACAAATCCATTTTGTTCATAGCCTGAACAGCAGCTAAATAAATAAATAACTATGCTTCAAACCACATTCCTGTGTGGAGTGAATTTGATTGAAATCTGATTTATTAAAATGTGTTTCAGTCTGAATTGTTAGATCAAAACTTGTTTTTCAGGATACTTCATACACAATGCGCATAATACAGTTGTGTTAGATTTCACAATTTTTACTCAGTCCTACTCCATATTTCAAACTTTGCAGCTTTCACTGTATAGTAAATAGTAAGTGTGTAATTTTGCGCCTCTAATGGCAACAATAACAGAGTTGCAGTGATACTGATCATTGCCAAACATTGCAGCTCTGTTTAGTGCTGCTAGTGGTGCAGAAATTGCACGCTTGAACTTCAACAACAAACATTGCTTTACACTTAATATCTTGGACCAATTTGTTTTGTATTAAATGGAGGTCTTACTTATAATCTTACTCATAAGCACAACTGTGACTTAAAATACATGAAAAGCATAGGATGCCATATAGACGTGGATAATATCCCTCAACGCAAGTTTGGTCAATAAGACATAGTGTTTAATACGGTTTGAATTGGCACCCTGGAGTGGAGTGTCATTTGGCGCTTGCATTACTCCTAATGGTGTAGCCATTAAACGCAACTGCCGTTGAATTAGACTCACCTCTCAAGCGCTCGCTCTGTTATTTCTCTAACATTAGGTACATTACCGCAGCCAGCCTATTAGTCGTTTAAGCCGCAGTTTAAAAGCTTTCGAATGCAGTCAATGAAAGGTATGTAATTGATATTTTCGAAGGCTTTATATGAGGGCTCTTTTGTTGAGAGTCGAGTGATGGAGATCGTCTGGAAGTCTGCCCGCGTTCCCACTGGAAACGAGTGGGAGTTTTTGCACCTTAAGCCCGGAGACGGGCGGCAGGTGTTCGTGGGTGAGTCTGGACGCAGATCAGGTGAATCTCCCCAGGAGAATCACGAAGAACAGGGCTTGAGAGCGTGAATCACCTGTGTGGGAGCTGCTCTATTTACACTACGTCCGATGGTGTCCGAAAATGGAGATTGAAAACAATATCGTGCTCCCACGCATGATTAAATCAGTAGCTCACGCAGAATGGAATATTCTGGCTAATCTTTTGCTCGCTCTCATGTCGTTCTAAACCTTTCTTTCTTTTGTGCTGAACAAAAGGAGATACTTAGAGGAATGTTCATGCTGCTCTTGTCCAAAAAGGCAAAAAAGCACCGTAAAACTAGTCTTGCGTATGCAATTTGACAGATTCTTTGGACTTACTGCATTCAAGATATATTTTTTCAGTTTGTCTGTTGCACAATAATATAGCCCATGATTTTCAGGGTTGGTGCACTGAAACACATTCTCAGTTCAGAACTGAATTGAGAATGCCTTGCAGAATTGCAATTAGAATTTTTTCTTATGGTATAAGAATTCTGGTTTTATACAATCAGATTGTTCAAGTGGATTGATTGATTGATTGATTGATTGATTGATTGATTGACTTATTTATTAGATTAATTATGTTTTTTTTACACGTCTGAAATAAATTGCAATAAAAATCAAATAAATTGTTATTAATTATTTTATAAATAAATTATTTCATATATTATATATTTTATTATATTAATAATTAATATATTATAAATAATACTATTAATTTGAGAAGTTATTTTAATATAAATTGTACATACAATTACAACCTGCACCACACCACTTTCATATGTGGAGTGAATTTGATTTAATCGTTTCAGTCTGAATGGTCAGTTTGGTTCTTGGTTTGATTCTTCAGTTCTGAGTTTCTTAAGCAATTTTTTGTTACCCTGTATGGGAAAGAAATTGAAGAATTTCATGTCCGGTTGTCCTTTCATTATTTTGCTGGCATCTCAACTGTGAACCTCAAGCAAAGTGGCTCTCGTTAGAAGAATAGCTCGTTCAGACTCTGGAGACACGGTCTGAACAGTTCTAGCGATTATTAGTGGAAAAACTTTTGCCAACTTTCCTCCGTCTTTATCTGGGCAAACTCTCTGAAGCTGTCAGGTGTTCGTTTCTCCTTCATGAGCACAGGAAGTGAGAACTGCATAGGTCAGATAAAAACTCCACTCTCACTTCCAGATGGGGAGAGCATCTTTTCCACAGTTTTACTAGAATCAGCTACTTATAAAATTTGCATGGTCCACATTTAACCAATTAGTAGTGCTGATGCAATCAATATGCAGCCAGTTAAACACATGCTTCCTTTAGACAGCAACATGTTGGACTGGAGTCTGTTGCTGCAACTCAGAATTTCCTGCATCCTGTTTGGAAAAGTGCAATAGCGTGCAAATTTAAGTAGGAATATCCCACATCTCACTTGATAATATTAGGCTGCATCCTAATTTGCAAACTCTGCATTCTTAGTAGTATGCAAAATTAGCATTAGTGCATCATTTGGTGTACTATTTTCAAAATATGCATGGTGTTTGGACTAATATTGACCATACAGGTGTTACTTATTAGCATTGCATAAAAAAAACATGATTTAAGATGCACTAAGGCTAATTTTGCATACTGCTAAGAATGCATACGCAATTTAGGATGCAGCCTAATATTGTTTGTACTGTAACACCATTGCTACTTTAGTATATTGTTGAGATTTAGAAAATAATGAAGTGTACTTTATTGCCTAATAATACTTAAAATCATGGTGTGCTATATTAGGGATGGCTATTTTGTTTTAAATGTTTCACAATAAATTTCAAAAAAGATGTGTTAACCTACAAATGAATGATTTAAAAAAATAATGCACACAAACACTTGCATGCAAACACAAATAGTTTGCAACAAAAAGCTTTTTTTCATATGGAAACACTTTGATGACTTTGTCATACTACATACATTATCAGTGAAGCACATACTTAGTGTGTAGTAGAAGAATGCAAATTGTGCCGCATCCTGTGAGTCAGTGTAGTGGAAAGTGAATCTGTTCGTGAATGTAGATTTCTGTGAAACATCTGTCACACTGACTTTCTGGGAAAAGTTTGCTGACATATTGAGCAGGTTGAAGTGAATTATCACCATTAGCACAGAGTGGGTTGTTTCTGTAGAGCCGGAGCTTTTCAGTGATGATGACGCATGTAATGAATCTATAACATGCTGAGCAGCCCACGTGTTCTGAGAACTGTGTCAAGAGACGATTTGTCCTACGTTAAAAATAATACATCAAAAACTTTATGTAAGATTTGTACGATTCCAGTGCTGCATTTATTTGTGCTAATTTGTAAAGATTTTTTTTTCCCTTGTTATAACTTGAAATGAAGTAAATAAACTGATTAGGCAGTATTTCCAGAAAATAATAGTATAATGCATGTTGTTTTAGATAAATTGCAATAATTGCATTGCATTTTATCTCGAATGAAATATGTACTCTTGTGTTTCTCCTTTTACTACCAATGAAACTTGTTGACAAATACTTTGGAAAAGGGATTCCTGCAGTTTGACGTGCTGTTCTCCATCTAAATTGATCAAAATCATGTGCTAATTCATTTAAAATTATTATAAATTATTATTCGTGCAGCATGAGCTCATATTAATTGAGAAACCTCATGGAATATTTGTACTTTTAAAAATTAATTTCTCACAACTCATAGCCTTTTTTAAAATGAACTAGTGAAGACAAAAAAGTGTTTGAAAATGTGGATTGCTCCATCATTTTGAGTCACTTTGACCCAGAAACACTTTGAGTTTTAAGCTCTGAAATAAAAAGCAAAGTCTCAGCCATCATTTGAATAATGATGCGTCTGCAACAATTTGAAGTAGAAACGTAAAAATAATCATTCAGATTTTACTTAAAAGTGCAAAACTTGTGTGTTTCTGAGTTGAAGTGACCCAAAATGATTTTACCTTACATACACATTTTTACCCAAAATCTTAATGTTGATTTTAAAACAGTTGTCAGTTTAGATTTCAGACATCAGTTCATTTGTGTACTGTCACCCAAGATCCTTCACCTTTGACCAGGGGCGCGGGAAGATGTTTTCGGTTGGGGGTGCTGTGTGTGTGTCCGTGTTGGGTGAAGGGGGGCGGGGGGCTGGTTCACTTATGTCGGTGCTGGGGCTGGTATTGTTTGGATGCCGATTTTGGAAAGTTTTTGCTGGGATGGGCATTTAAAAAAATCTGATATTCGCTTTTGCGCCATTATCTCCTTGTATTAAAGTTAATCTTGTTCGCATTCTGTACAGTTCATGTCTGATACCACGCGCTAGCGTCACGTGTTCATGATGATTAGGCTAATCATCCCATATAGAAAACATCACAAGTAAAATTAATCATGTTTATAAAGATAAACATGGGTTTATTATAGCCCACTTACAATTTACATTTCAGAGATCATTACAAATAAATTATTAAATGCTAAAACTGAATAAATTTAAATGAACAAATTTGGCGATGCATTTGCAACCATGTGAAAACAGGGGGTGCTGCAGCCCCCTCAGCACCCCTACTTCCCGCGTCCCTGCCTTTGACATTTGTACCTTTCTTTCTTTCAGAGATTGGCTAGAGAAGCTGAAGACATCCAACGAGAACATTCATGGCAAGATGCAATCAAAGTGAGAATTTCTTTCAGTAATTCATTAATAGTTATCCTACTGCCACAGACATTATTAAGTTTTATTTTAGTATCATTGATATACTAATAAGGTTTTTGATAATATTTTGAATTTGATAGAATTTTTACATTTTTTGTTTTCATTTTAATTTTATGTTTTAGTAAAACAAAATTAAAAATTGAAAAATTAAGTTTTAGTAATTTTGTTGTGTTTTTGTCATTTTTTGAGTTTTCTTGTCTGTATAGTGTCTATATAGTTTTTCATTTTACGTTTTTACTTTTAGTTTATTTAGTTTGTTATTTTGGTACTTGAAGTTAAACTAAACGAAATGTTTATTAGTAGCTTAAATAATTGTCAAGTGTTTTTATATATTTTATTTTATTTCAGTTAATATTTATTTGAAATAATGTTTTTTAAGGTTTTATTTTTATTTAATGATAAAAAAAACCTGCCATGTAAGACCTTTCCAAAGCGGGAATGAAAAGTTTGTCAGATAGATAGATAGATAGATAGATAGATAGATAGATAGATAGATCTGCAAATTAAATGTCTGCAAAT